TCAATCGATGCACAACGACAACACTGGACTGCACTGGACCGGACAGGATGAAAATGTGCCATCACGCCAACGGAACGCAAGTCAATCCGAATGGATAGATTACCAGCACCAAGAATATCGTTAAGAATTGTCCTAAAGACATTTTTCGAATTTGTTTTTCTCCGTGTGGAAAAATCAAACGTGGAATTTTGCGGCAAAATAATTAATTCTGAATATTTAATGACTGTCAATCTATTATTGTGGTAACAACAAAATAATAGAATTTGTTTTTTGTGTGGCGATAATGTTTTGTCATAAAAGATTGAGATTGAGGTTTATTGTTTCGTATTCGTGGCTATTTCCTCATTTTGAGTTTAATAAGAGATGGATTTTCACAAAAATTTGATTTATTCTTGTATTATTTATGACTTAAGACGTTTTAAAGGATATTTAAGTAAATTTTTTATCATGGAAGTAATTTTATTAATTAGTTTATTAACGCGGCGTGATTTTGGCCTCGATTGTTGCCTGAACCCGATGATGGCTTATTAAATAGCGAACAAAACCGAGTCTCTTTTGCTTTTCGCAAAATTGCGCGCGCGAGCTCACCGAGCGCGAACAGCAATCGCAACAAGAAGCGCACGCGAAAGACGCCAAGGTCTTTGACCGCGATCGACTTTAGAGAGTCAGTCGCGGCCATAATCAAAGCGAAACATCATCGAACAACGACAGATTTGGATTACGCGGTGCGGGACAACACCACATTGTCATCCGGCGGCACACTTTTGGTGGAGGTGCCAATGTGTTTTATAACCTGTTACCTAAATTCCGGATATTTTGGAATTTATTTGTGTTTTGCCCAAAAATGATGAATATAAATGATGATGTCTGCTTGCTATTACATGGCCAATTAAAAATAAAGAATTTGTGGTAAAAATATCCATAAAATTGTAGTTTTTGCAAAGAAAAACAATTTTTTGGAAAATTTAAAGAAAATATTGAAAATTTTTGATAAATTTTGTTTTTAGACAATATTTGTAACTGGAAAGACAATTGACAACGCAAAAGAAGATGAAAACTGCAAAAATTCATGGTTTTTTTCTCAAAAAAATTCCAAATTTAATTTTTTTCTTCGAAAAAATAGAAAAATTCTAGTTTTTTCTCCTAAAAAGAGCAAAAAAATATTGCAAGTGCAAAAATAAATCACAATACAGAAGAATACAAAAACGGCAAAAATTCTTTTTTTTTTCTTCCAAAAATTACAAAATTTCAATTTTTTTTTCGAAAAATAACAAAAAACGCAAATTTTTCTTAAAAACCACTACCAACAATAAAGATTACTGTATTGTTTCATATCCCGTACCGAAAATGAATTAACCGTATCAAGTACAGTTCACGTCTGTGTTTGTTTCAACGCGCAAGAGATCATAAAATATCATAACGCGTCCCGAAGCTGAAGAAGGCGCGGAAGAAAAAAAATAGCCGGAACCTACGCTATTACTAACAGTACTCGGTTGAAAGTAAACTCGCGGCGCTCGCGGATAGCGGTCCCGAAAAAAGCACCGTACAACGCGTTCGCTTCTTTTGCATACAATTCCTTTAAAAATAACTGTCCACCTTCCACGCAGCGGTAACGCATTGCGTTCACATAACATTCTAAGCATCATCATCAAAGCGGAACCTCCACACAACAATTTTACGTAGGAATAAAGACGATTTGAAAGATTTTACCTGAAGATTATTCAAATTTTAAACAACTCAAGAGATACGTTACAGATTCTTTTCAATTTACTTTTCCGACAGTAAATTATGATTATTTCTGAACTGTCAAAAGTCAAAACACTTCGTTTACAACATGTACAGTTATCGCTCTGCGAAGGCGAAGTGAAAGAAGAAAGGTTTGTTACTAAAAGAAACCCAACACCCACACCGATGATGATTACCGTAAGATTTGAGTGTCGGGTTAAAAAGTAGTTACATAAAACGCGTTGCGTCATTGCCCAATTGTTTCGCATTCGTATTTCTACAAAAGGTTTTGTTTAAACTTTACCTTTACTCAACTTTCAACCCACAAGTAAACATCTTTTAAAATTTTTGTTTTTGAGAAATTGCGGAAATAATTGTGTTTGTGTTTTGTTTTATTAAATATGTATGATTCTTTGAATGTCGTTGATCTTTTTGTATAAAACCATGCGAAATGTGTAACATTGACCCGAAGTAAACTTGGAAACCGAGCGCTTTTGTTGCTCGCCGTTTTCTTGCCACGCTGTTGCACACACCGAGTGCGCTCAACAATTCCACACTGTTGTCATAACTCGTCGCTTGTTTCCGCATAATAACAACGACATTAACCATTGGAATTTAAATCAGAATTTGCATTGCAGCCAGACCTCTTTCACCCACGCCCTAACGCATAAATATCATCGAGTTAAATAATATTAAACAAAATATTAAACTTGACACTTTAGAGGTTAGAATAGTTAGAATTAAATAAATATACGATTTAAATTTTGTTTTTAAAGAGTGTTTGATTTGCGTTTGGGACTTAAGTGAGTTTTAAGTTGATTCAAGTTGACTTAAGTCCTTTGTGGCCACTGAAGAGCTGAGTTTACTTGAGGCGCGATGGCCGCCGGCGGTCGTTGCTTCGCTGAACGACTTTCCGCGATGGCGAATAAGGTTATGGCTCTCGCGGGTTATTCGCGTTCGTCGTACCAGTTACCTGCAACCGTTCGCGCACCGCGAAGCCATTGCCATCGCCATCGCGCCGCGGCGGAACAGAAAAGAAGAGTACATTACGGAATCGAACGCGAACGCATGCCATTGAACTCTAAAATGCCATCTATCAGCAAATCAACAATCCAACAACACTAAAACATCATAAAACAACACCTAACCATAAAATATAACCAAATTATCAATCTATCCACCCAAAAAAACAAAAATAAATATTTATTTTGGTTATGTTTGAAAAATTCTGTCAACTGTCAACTGTCAAAATTCTATTTTATTCTATTCTAACCTCAAATAATGTTTGTAAAATTATGATGATGGTGGTTGTGTTGACAACCGGAAATAAATGTAAATGCAATGGAGGTAAACACAATAAACGAAAAGGTAGTGACCCCGCTCGTGTTTGCGCTTGCGTTCGCGATTCGCGCGTTCGCTAGTAGTACAAGTGATGTAAGAGAGATTGTGTTGTACGGCCGTGGTTATGAAAGTAAGGCATTGAACTCGAGTGGCCTACCTTCGCGGCTGCCGACCGCGGCCGCCATTGCGAATGCGCGCGCGCATTGCCAAGTTCATTGCTAATTCTTCTCTTTCTTCGCGGCACGCACCGCAACAAAAGGTGCAAAAGTGCACACGGAATGCCTCTTCGAAAACTTTTCCAAAACTTTTCATCGCGTATTTCTTTTGCAATGAAAATTAAAACATAACCTCTTAATATAACCTAAAATTACTTAAATATAAATTAAGATGATGTTTGGTGGTGGTTTAAAGATTTTTTTCTTGTGTGAATTCAGTTTGGCAGGCCAATGGCCCTCGAAAGTGAGCGTCACACCCGAATTTTTATTCGCCGTTAGTTTTATTCAGCGCGCTCCGCGCACGGACAACGAACTCCGCGATGTGTTCGCGTTCGCCTTTCCTTTCGACCGCGGCACGTCGGCGGCGTTAAACTTTAACTTTTTCCTCGCCTCGATTAAATTCTGCAAAAAGGACCGTTTTGATGGGTGGGTAATATGCGACCGGCGAGAATTCGCATTTCGCACAACCTGCAGCGTCACGATTCCGTAAACCCGTCGAGAGTTTTAATTTAAAATTTTCAATTAATTTTTTTTTCTTGCAGCGCATTAAGTTCACGGACCTGACCTAACGGTGTAAGATTTAAGGCAGGTACCTACCAAACATAGTAGCAATTAAAAACCTATGTCGAACCCGGATGAAACAACATGGCCGGCGTCGTAAACATAAATTAAATTTACGATTAGCGTTATTGTTTGCACTCAAATCAATTGTGTTTATTGCGATTTTTATGCGCTGCAGTTTCTAGTAGACTCCGCAGCGGCTGTCAAAGTAAGTCAATGGTTTCCGAGAAGTTTGCTCTCGGTACTCACGAGTGTGATTGTGTGAGACGCGTCAACGCTGATGCACAATGTCTTCGGCTCTTCGCAGATGCGTGGACATTTGTGCAAACAGTGGCGCGGAATACTGGGACGTTGTTGGTTCGTGTGCGTCTAACGGCGTTCGGCTGACATTTGCAATGCGCGAATATGTGTCAGTGTGTTGCACTTCTTGTGCGGCCATTAGAATGCATTTCCGGTACAATGGTGCGCACACATACGCCGACTGGCTGACAGTCGGGCATGAATGAACAACGCTGGACGGGTAAATGTGGCGAATGCGTAAATGAAAATCGAGTCGATGCTTGACACAAGAGGTGCGCATTGCTGAGTTATTGCGGCGGGTTGTCGATGGACACCGAATTCGCAAATGGCGGCGACGTGCCGCCGAGCGTCGTACGTGACTGCAGCACATCCTTTTACTTTGCGCTACAAAACGCAAAACGAATTCAAGTCGTCTTTCAGTTGGAAATTATTAAAACGTAGCAATACGACCTTTTCTGCAAGTGTATGTAGAAGAAATAGATGTTGTCGAATTATTATTAACTTCAATAACAAGTGACTTATCATTTAGATATGTTTACACTGGTTTTCTAGCAGTAATCAAGTATTTATTAATTTTGTATTTCCTTTTATCTTGATATATGCAAAAATTAGTGAAACACGGTGCTATTTTCTTCATAACACAGTCCAATAGTTAACGGTTTATTTGTACTGCTTAAAATAATCTCATGCAAATAACTCTTGTTATCATATTTGCTTGAAAGCAAAACAAAACACAACGCGAGTTATTTTTCTGTGGGCGAATGTAAAATGCTTGAAGTGACTGTATGCAACCAAGGAATCATAACGGCGACTGCAAAGCAGCACGGCAAAGTAAATTAAACACGTTTGAAAACGTACCTGAGAATGATGACCTTTAGAAGAAGTATCGGCAGTTGAAATGATAACTAGTTGCACGTAGATGTCTGTTATCAGTTGGAATAAACAATGACTGAACTGGAACTCACTTGTGTATAGTTATTCGCAATGCTGAACGTTTGTTTCACACGTAAACTTTAATGAAATACGAATTATTTGATTTGACCGTGATTTTAACATCTTGTTCGTAGGAAATGACAGTCCACTATTATAAGAACTTGAATATTGAGAACTATTTCGCCATTTGTTGTGTTATAAATTTTTGTGTGCAAGCGTAAACAAACAAAACAGACGCGATAAACACGAACGCGAACGCTGCACTAAAGTGAAAAAGTTGTTGCTGCTCAACGAACAAATGATACTGCTAGCGCCCCCTAGCTGCTTTAGTATTAACTAAGATTATCAACAACACAGAGCACTACAGTTACTCACTACAGTTTAACTAATTCAAAAATTTATTTAAGTTTTTCATTAAATCACGTATCCAATCAATCACATCAATCAATTAGTTTTGATTTTAGTTAGGTTACTGATAGCTCATAATGCCTCTTAGGCAAAACATGTCCACCCAAGCAAAAAAAATCTAAATTCAAATATCAAAGCAATTTTTCAATGGAAATCATCCTAATCCCTATTAAAACATATGTTTTTAAGTATAGATTGGCATATAACGAAGGAAAACCTCCGGTTTTCACAGGTTTCCGTGCCAACAGCGACGTAACCCCTACGAGACACCTACCCCCACCACTTTCTAAGGGTCGGCCGCAGGTATAAAAGGGCAGCCCGCAGTGCGTCTCTTGCTAAGTCGTGCCTGAGTCGTCCAGCAGTCCAGTCGCAGTTCTCTAGGGCCTACTCTCCCCTCCCCTCACTTCCGGGTTTTGCTTTGGTTTAAGTCGTGCATGTAAAATATCCAGACACCAACTTCTACGTTTCCCCAACACTAATGTTGATTTCAAGTAATAAGGATTTGGAAAGGACTTTTCTTATTATTTCACACCAAATATAATCAATATTTTCTCATATTTTATACAATCCATTCTTTATCTATCCTACCTAACCTATCCTAACCTAAAATAACCTATCCAACTCGTATCCTTCATATACTTACATTGATTTATAGCGTGTTTAATTGTTTGCTGAAATAAATTTGTGTAATTCTCAAGTAGTAGGTACTTGACTTGTTAATCATCATAATTGCTGATGACTCCATTCATTCCCATTCTGCGCATTGGTACTACTGCTATTGGACGCCGGGGATTCCGGTTCGTTTCGCACACTTGTCGCTCGCTCAATATGCTCAACGTGCTCGATTTGTCCCACTTCCTGATACACCACACTGCCATCATCCCGCTCCACACTGACAGCCGCCCCAGTTGGATCAATATGCGCATACCCTATCTCACTACCATTCACCAATGGTACATACTCAGCTTGATAGTGAGTTGAGTATGGTGTCACTTGATCCTGATTGTAATAATTGGAGTAGGATAACTGGGTGAGATTACCAATGTTGCTAATTGGTTGATGGTACTGGGGAAAGTGATGGGTTGGAGATTGTTCCGGAGTAGTCTGTGCACTGCTAGCGGCTAGTTGATGAGGAGGTGGTGGGCTGGAAGTGAGTGACCAGCAATTGATTGCAGCGGGTGCTGGTGAGACTATGGGTGGTTGGGGTTGAAGGGTTGACCATGCTGTGTAGGTTGTTGGTGGTGAGGGTGCATAGGGTTGCTGAATGTGTTCCGGGGGATTATAAACTGAAAAAATACAAAAAATTAACTTCAAAACTCAATTTTAAATAAATAAAGAAATCTTTTACTAACCACTTGGAGGTGATCCTTCAGGTGAGTTCGATTTTGGCCTGTGGTAGGTATAAGGAGAAGACCTGTTTGATTTCAAGGACCCTGAAGAATACTTCTCACAGGAAGCCACAGCAGCTTGGTACATCTTCGTGTTTCTGGTGTACCTTTCACATGCTGACCATGGTACCCCACTCGCTGTATGCGGCATACAAGTTTGATGAGGGATAAATAAAGATCCATCTAAAACATAACCTTTATTAGCCCAAAAACTAAAAAATTTAAAATGTAACCTACAATTTCCACCATATTGCATTTGATTGTCCCCGTAGGTACCACCATATTCCCTTTGATTATAAATACTATCCGGTCGTTCCTTGGCGTCAAGAAACGCCTTAGCAAACGGATTATATTTAATCTTTAGTGAAGTAACTTCTTCATTCTGATAAGCAGTTACAGCGATAAACTGTGTTTCAGGAAACGGAAAAGTGATGATTCTTCTTTGTTCAGTTCCAACTCGAACTAAATGCACTCTAGGTTCATATTTATGCAAGGAGTTGAGCATAATCTGTCCGCTACCATTGCATTTATTCGTCAGTTTAACTTTAGCGAATGAAATCGGCTCCTTCGTCCAATGCGCGCCAAAATTCGGAGATTCCGGATGCACATAGATGGGATTCGCAGGTGGGACTTCCGCTTTACCACCTGGTACCCATTCCCCGTTCACGTACTTCCATCGATGCGGATCAATCTGCACGAATTCCAATAGAACCGTGTACATTGCCTTCGGATCTAATCCAGAGACAGACACCTTCACAACAGGGAACATCCGGCGGCCATTTTTCGTCACAATCATTTCATTAGTGAAAGACTGAAACGGACCCATAGATCCCGATCGTCTAAAGTGACACATAGATCACTTTCCGGAGTGTAATCTGCTCCTTTTCCAGGACGAGTCTGTACGCCATGAGAGATTTCCGACTCGACTGCCGAGAGAATGTGTTGCGCAGCCATTTGGGGGACTGAAAAGCACATTGCAGGTGAATGCATTCGAATGCAGCAAACAAATCGTAAAATCGGGAATTCAGTGTAATTCTGAACGGGTCTACAAGGATCGCGTTTTTAATGATCGCGCTAACAGCTTGAGCAAACAGCGAACGTGCCTGACGAGATCATGCGCGCAAACACCAACTGCACTCGGACTGAAGATTCTTGGACAGAGGACATCGAGAGTACAAAGGTTTCCGAAAAGACGTGGGACGTGCACAGAAAGAAGCAAAATAAAGGAAAGTGAAGAAAAACATGGCGGTAAGAATTTTTTAACCAAAAACTTTAAATTTAAAATTTTTGATTATTAAATAATATCTTACCGTCCATTCGCTGAATTTCCTCTAACATTCACACACTAATTCCCTGATAAACTCAGTATTCAGTCGTCGTACTTAACGTTAATTAGAAACACTTTGAACGCATTCGCGCCCGGCAATAATTGCACAGTTTAACAGTTTAATCAACACGCAAGCACGAATTTTCACAAATTTGTAAAGTTGCACCTTCGCGCCGCTGTCACCAACGCTCCCAGTCAGTTCTTCACGAATCCTCCGCGAAGGATGTCGATTATTCCAATTCACAACGCGTGCGTTAATTATTTAATAATAACAATTTAATCTGTGACTTATTGGTAATTTCAGCGTCTTCGTTCGGCGTGTGTTACGCGCTTATTTGTTGTTATTTCACACTAAACCGATAAATGCTCGCTCGCGGCCGTCGCGCGGTCATCTTCGCCGTGGTGATCTGGACATTGGGTGTCGCGCTCCACGAACAGAACACGCCCAATGTCCAGGATTGGTCGCGCGCGTAAAATCATCGAGTAACTTAAACGCGTAAGTGACTCACGCATGCGCAGCTTGTCCAGCGCCTACGCAACCCGGCGACTTGAACGTCATGTCGGTCAACTCGTACTCGTATCATACCTGAGACTGAGTAATATCTTTCACCGGATATTAATAATAATTTTTTTGTATTGTAAAAACCCTTTAATTTATATTTTGGTTTTTCCGGTTGTAAGGTCATAACCACACTCATCATGAGTATCTAGAGGTATTGCTTTTATTTTTGTGCTAACAATTTGGCAAATATTAAACCAGCAGCCGAAATTCTCGTAAACACCTACGACGCTCGAGCGCGCGGAGATGCAAATTATTTTTACAAACGTTTCGGAAGGCATTAATTTCCAATTTTCGCACAATCAGCACGCTCGTTAGTTAATAACGCGCTATTAATTAACAGTTAGCACGTTATAATGCATCGACTAAACTAAATTATGTATTTGCAAAACAAATAAATGATTTTTTGCGTTGAGTAGGATGGATTTTTATAACACAGGTGGAATAAAGTAATATTACTCAGGTGTGCAATAAACTCACCGGCGGGTAATATAGTTTTTGTTCGTTTTTGTTTCTTGTGCAAAGCGGCCAATGACCACCCACACGATGAGTCTTAAAACCAAACAAAAAAAAATTAAACAAAATTTGTTTTAAAATTTAAGTTAAAACCTTGACTGATTTTTGAAATTTTCTGATACTTAGGTACACACTTTCCAATTTGATATTCAAGAAGAGGTTAGATGACGTCCAAACTACCAAAAATTGTTTTGTTGGCCGAAAAAATTAACATTTTCGTACTTTGAATGTTTGCTCATCGCGTCGTCCCCTACATTTCACTATTTGTTTGTGTGATCTTAACTAATATCTAATCACATAGTAACCATACTGCCTCCGATGCCCCCGCAACCTCCAAATAACTATGTGTACATTGCGCGTAATCACACGAATAAATATACAAAATCTACAATGTTTCATGAGGTATTAAGAGGTAGTTTTTTGTTTTTAATGTTTAAACAAGTCTATTGTCACATTGTCAACCCTTAAGTGGTCTTAAGTGTTTTCAATTATGCTCCGGTTGGATTTTTGTTTCTTGCTCCTAAGTGACTTAAGTCAAAGCGATATGGAAATGTTTCATCTATGGTCATATTTTAAGTGACTTCAGTCGCGGAGCAAAAAATGTTAAAAACAAATTAGTAACAGGTTTAGATTTACACAACAGTTTTTAGTATAATGTGAAATGTCAATATCGAGCGCAACCAGCGAGAGCAACGCGAAGCGCGCGCACAATGACAAGATGGCCGCGCTATTAGTTTTACTTCCAAATGCCTAGACGTAGACAAGTGCTAATTGTTTCGTCAAATATTATGCTGACTGTACGTGGACGCATTGACGACGACGCACAGGCCGACACTGACCGTAGCACAGCGCACCACGGTAAACATTCAAGCGCGCACAAAATGGTTGCTATCTGACGTCACACGGCGAGAAACCTGCGAGAAAAATCCGGCGAAACGCTCTAAACATCAATGAAAACACGGCTTTAATTGGAAGCAAAGCATAAGTTAAAATATGATAACTTTTGTTAAAACAAAATTAAAACGTCACTTTTGTTTGGAAATTTGTTTACGCGCAGGCACATCTCGCGCGCCATAAAATCAAGGTGTAATAAAATAAATTTATTTGTGAGGCTTTTCTATTAGTGCGCTCGTGAATCACGAATTTAGTTCATTCGAACGCGCACACCAAATATTCTTTAATATCGTAATTCAATTTCGATATTGTGTTAATCATATTAAAACTTCATATGCAAATTTTACTTAGAGGCTTTTTATATCTATTAGCATATTTCCTTTTAATTGCCTTGTTTCCCATGACTGCATCTTGGAATAATGTGTCAATAAAGTGGCAATTATGACGAAAATTATGAATATTAACGCTTGCGGCCATATCAAGCGTTTGTTTTCACTGCAAATCTTCAATTCAAGATGGCCGTCAGTGAGTGGGTTGAATTTTATACGCACCGGTAATAAAACGTGCGTCTAGCAATCATTCGCGATAATTAATAGCAAATTCACGCATTAATCAAGTTTTAACACCATTCACCAACAAAATGGCGACTATGGTGTCACTTGTTTTCTGTTTGCGTCGCGGTGGGCCCACCGCTTACAAGTCGTAACAAGTATTATCAGATTTCCAGGTTTAATCGCGTCCCTCCAATCGAGCGGCGTTCGAACAAGTGCAATAATCGGCGGCGTCTTTCAAGCGCGCCGCCGCTCGTAGGGCGAAGAACAAACAGCGAGTTGTTCATCGCGCGAACAGCATGGAGAAGAACAGAAGAAGAGAAGCGGATGTAAGCCGCACGGGCAGAAGCCGCGCAGCCACCGACAACGGTTTAATGTCTTTATTGCATCTGGGCTATGCGTCTTCGAGATCTTGGACACCGTCGGCGGCACCTTTGATACTCGTCGCTCGCCTACCGCCCCGTTGATATTTTTTTGTCCTTTGTTGCGTGCGTTTTATGTGCGCGCCCAAAAATAATTAATGAATGCAATGAACGCAGAACGCGCGTTTACGACACCTGGACGGTTGGATGCCGACCGTCGGTAAACTTAGGTAATTGTAGACAGTGTACAATATTGTTATTGTCAATCACTCTTCAAAACACTCATAGAATGGAAAAATACTGCAAATAACAAGAATCAAGTCATAACACAGTGAAAAAAAACAATAATGACGTAGAAAACTGCGTAAAAGTAAAATTTAAGAGTTAAGTTGACTTGAATTTGTTGTTTTATTCAAGTATGAGTAATAAATACCGTCGAGACGATCTGGATTGGATGCTTAATTTAATTGAGGATAGTAAACGCTGCGCTTTCAATTATAAAAGTGTAATGAGTGCAATAATACCGAGGAATGACGATAAAACTTACTTTTTGGTTTTTATACACAATTTTACAATTCTATACTTAACCACCCCATGTTAAACGAGCCACGTGATCTGTTTTACGTTTTGAGCTCTTCACGAAGCCAAGGTACTCCAGTTCTGCGACACATTGCGTAAAACGCGCTCTAAAGTTTAAAAAATTAAGAAAAACACAAAAAAATATTAAAAAACAGTACATAAATTAAGTTATGTTAAAGATTAAAGGATACTGTAAACGTGGATCAACTTCTCTTTTGTCAACGTCTTCATCTGGTTTGATAGGATCCAAAATAGACAGAAATGATTGTAACCAATCATACAAGTTAATCATTTTACCATATTCAAGATGTAACTTGTACGCAATGCAAATGTCCGGCATTGTATCCAAAATGCTGTCTATGTTCGGAAGTTTACAACATCCGCACTAAATCGTAGAATTACAATGATAAAAATATTATTTCTTGATGTTTTATTAAACTTACATGTAAATAAGAAGCTGGATCATTGAGTGCTGTATGAATTGCACTCCTATGTGATCCAATGATATTGTTCTGAATGGAAACATCATTAAAAAAGAATAGTTCATAAAATACATAGTCCCTTGGCTGTTTAAGATGATTTTCATACAGTTTTTCCAAATAATTTACTAGTTTTCCTCTTGATTTCTCGTATTTGTTCATTTTTGGCACGTTTAGGCTCTGAGACCGTTGAAATAATTGTTCTTTGAGTGCTTTCCTGTCTAGTTTTCCATTAACTTGAACTATATTATGCACTTCGGACATTGAAACATCTTCGTCGTCATCTTCAATTGTGGTTATTGATGTGTTATCCAAAAGATCTTCTAATAATGTTACTAAGTCTGTGGAAACTTCTTCATAGAATTCTGTATTCAATTCATAATTGTTTTTCAGTTCATTGAGTATCATTTGGATGAATGTTTTCATTTTGAGTGCAAGTTCATCTTTTGATTGGAAGTTCAACAATTGAAAAGCTTCTTTGAATTCTGTCAACGTTGTAATGTCTTTAGAAGTTGCCAAGATGTAGAGTTCTCTTATTTGTTTCCCAAGAGGTGTTTTTGGTAAGTCTTCAACTAATATTTTTAATCCTCTCAATAACACATGCAATTTATTCATGTACAAGAAAATTTCATTCAAATGTTTTTCTAGTACAGATCTAAAGTATGTATCATCATCTAGTAATTTTATTTGGTTTTTAGGACTCTCACTTTCAACAAGACTCCGAAATGAGAGACAATTACGACGTACATTTTCAAAATCTTCGTGTTCAAAAGAATCTAGAACTTTTCTGACTTGTTTTCTATTTGTGCATAAAGCTAAGTGTGAACCACGACTGAAATGTTCCAACATAGCAAACTAAAATATATTCTATATTAAAATTTATATTTTCGTATGAGAGAAATAAAGTAAATACCTTGAAATTTTGAATAAAACCAGTCACAGAAAAGTCATAAAACAAAAACACATCCAAAAACAGCGCAAACAGGCGCCCACCCAAATGAAATGGACAATCATCAGCCAAAAAGATGCCCTCAAGGATATTATTCAAGTAAATTGTCGATGGCTGTGAGTTAAATACTTGAATGTTCACTTTTGAAGAAACATGATGTGGCATAGATTTATTCAGGGCGGATAGTGATGTGGCGACACCAAATATCAACACAAATGGTAAAATATTAAGATAAGTACTGAAATAAATAGGAAAAAAATACAAAATCATGTGTTGGTAACGTAACCTATTTTGTGCGCTCATTGAAAGGTTGCTATGACAACCACAAACGTAAAGAAACAACTAAAAATTAAATACTATTCACTTACCTTGCTATTTGAATAAAATCTTGTAGAACATGTGCATTAAAACTCTCAAAATCCGGAATAATAATAGCTAAAATCTTCTTATCACATCCATAATCAAGATCTTCATACCAGGATTGCAACATTGCAAAACTACACTGACTCTTCTTAATCTTTTTCACTTTACTCTTCTTTCCATCTTCATCTTCACTAATTTCCATCTCCTCATCATCCTCACTCAAGTCTTCATCATTGATGAGCTGATTAATCATATTCTCCACTAAATTCTTCAAATTGTTACAATCCTGTGAATGTAGAGTGACAACATGTGGTGATATAGACTTTTTATTTCATTGGAAAGTGTAGAAAACTGAGCTGCATGATCTGGCATATTGATACCAGTCAGCAATGTTGCAGCTGGTATCTCAGTCATGTTCTTTTTATATGATGTCTTTACAAAATGTATCAAACTGCTTAAGACATTGGAAAACATTTCACTGTTTAATATCTGAAAATATTTAGATGACATTTAGATGTGATAACCAACTGATTAATAAAATATTACTTGTATTTTGCGTTCTAAGTTCCCCCAGAGAGTTTTGTATGATTGATACCATAGTTCATTATTAAATAAAGACTGTTCTTGTATGGACTTTCGAGATTTATGCTTTCTTCCAGGTTTGAAGCCATTTTTAAACACAAAAACACCCTAAAATAATATAATTAGATAAAATATAATTAGAAGTTACTTAAAATATACTTACTTTTGATACAGACACAGTTTCCATTGTTAAATAAAATAAATTAACAAATTAAAATCAACACAACACAACACTACACAAAAATAACCTGAATACTTTCTGATATATTTCGCGCGCTTTTACACCAAGCAAATTCTTATTTGAAGACTGAAGAGACCTCTATGAATGAAAATTCAACTCAAAAACATTAAATAAGTTTTTAAAAGTTTTAAATTTAATAATACCACTGCAAAATATATACACATACTTAAAATCATCCAAAATAAAACATTTTGACGCGTTTTTCTTAATTTATGCATAATTTACTAAAAAATCGATCGATTGCGTCGTTAACCTTAAACATTCTACCGCACTGCATCAAAACGTTCAAAACAAAGCAAATGTTTAACAAAACATGATTAGAATGATAGCAATAGTAAAAGATTGTGCGCAAACATGAAAGTGCTCTTCAAACGCAATCATGGCCGTATTAAAGTGCTACTCATCGCGACCATCTCCTTCCTTTTTGGATGTATGGTTGCTATCAACTTATATCCCATTGAAAGAACATGCAAACTGGATGATGTTGATAGAGAATACAACATAATGAATAACGAGAAACTGAAAAACCCCGATTTGATTATTCTAATACTCTCAGCACCACAGAATCACGAGAAGCGACAAATTATCAGAGATACCTGGCTAAAGTTACAAGTTATCCAGCCTCATATAAAAGAAGAAAATGCCAAATTTAAACTTAAGCATTACTTTGCAATTGGAAGTGTTGGCCTACCAGATGCTAAGCTACAAGAGCTAAGAGCTGAGCAAACAGATCACAGTGATATGCTAATATTGCCTATACAAGATAGCTATCAGAATTTGACTTTCAAAGTGCTCAAATCATTCAGTTGGCTGAGTGATCAGGTGGATTATGGCCTAGGTTTTAAATATTTATTAAAGTGTGATGATGATAGCTTTGTGAGGCTTGACCACTTGGCAGAGGAGTTGCTTAGCTTTGAATTATTATACAACAATGAAAAAACTCAGTTTAACTTTGAAGATACAAATGTATATGACTCACATTACATGAGAGTGAATGTTCAGGCAAATTCTGCTCTCACAATGCAAAGAGCATCAAAATTAGGCATATATTGGGGGTACTTTCATGGAGCAGCTCATGTTAAACAAAAAGGCAAATGGAAGGAAGATGATTGGATCCTGTGTGATAATTATATCACTTATGCTTTGGGTGGTGGATACATTCTGTCAAGAAACTTAGTGCAATATATTGCATCCAATGAAGATCATTTAAAGTAAGTCAATGTTTAAGTTAATATATAATCTTATTCTTACTCTATTTTAATTGAAGGTTGTACAATTCTGAGGATGTTAGCGTTGGAGCTTGGTTAGGAACAAAGAACCAACTTGTCCGAATTCATGACATTCGATTTGACACCGAATGGAAGTCGCGCGGCTGTCAAAATTTCTACCTCGTTACACATCCGATGACGCCCGATGAAATGCGTACACTTTACCAGAATATTCTCGCTGGTAGCGAGCTTTGTGATACGGAAAGGACACAACGCAAGCAGTACTTGTACGATTGGCGAGCACCGCCTAGTCAATGCTGTAAAACCCAACACTAGTCAATCAATTTCGCACCTTTTCAACTCCGCTAACCGCTGATACGCTGATGAGTCAAGATGGCGGCGAAGAATGTTAAAAATAGCTTTAAGAAACCATGTATGAACCATGCTTTTTTAATACTCTATTTACATGATTCAGATAACATTAACTTTGGTTTTATGTAGACATTCATGTGATGTCGCTAATGTCCCAATCCGACGATTCGGAACCAGTGTGTAATTCCAGTTGTTTCCTTTGTTTTCCTTGTTTTTCTACGTTTAATTTAGTTTTTTCTTGTTCTACGAAAGAGGTGAGATCTTTTTTGTTTTGAAGTTGTGGTTTAGGTAATTTCTCAGGTGATTGTTGTGAGGATAGATCTGTATCGCTTTCTAAATTAAACAGAACTTTCTTTTTGTTGTTTTGAGGTGGTGCAGACTCAGCAGTTGCAAATGTAGGAGCACTACTTGTCGCAGTTGCAGTACCAGTGGTATTCACAGCTCTAACTTCTGGTTTTGTTTGCTTTGAGGGAATAATCGTAACAACATTATTTTCCGGCTTCTTACCTTTCAATACTTTTAAGGTTGATTGTTGTTGAGTGTAATTTAGTACGGGGCTTTGAATTGATGATTCTGTTTGCATGGAACCCCTACGAGAGTTTGGTTTAATCGTGGGACGTCCTGTTACCCTTTGAAGAGGAATATCTACTGATGATTCTGAAGGAGCATAAGATTCCGATGGTGTAGCTCTATTTAAGCACACAAAATAACAAATTATGTAACATTTAAAGTAGAAACAAACGTTTACATATCTTACCCTTCATTATCTGAAACACTTGTGGGTAAATTTTGCGTAGTTCTGCGTTTTCTCACTTCGTTATTCTTTTCGATTTCTTTATCAATGGAGCGTTCGATGTTTTTTCGTATTTTATGAAAATCATGGATAGTTTTCTTCGATAAATTAGCTTGATGCTCAACAATCTCCATTGCTTTATTATATGACTTTTCTGGAAGGCATTTCCAATGTGGCGACACTCCAATTTCTTTCAACTTTTGGCTAACAGACTCTTCAACGTGGCGTTTAAGACGTTTCTTTAAATCATTATAATCACTTTCATCATCTTCATCAGAATTATTCTTATTTTCAACAATTTTAGATACTTTTGTGGGTTTTGACGGTCCGCCATCTTGTGATACGTGTTTCGACATTTTATGAAGCACCGGTGGTTTTACTTTTGGTTCAACTGGTTTTAATGTTGCTGAAGGTTTTAATCTTTGTAATAAAGTCTCATCAAGACGTTTCCTGAAACTAATATCAAGATAAAATTAAAATTAAACATATAACTTAAATAAACATAAATTTAATACCTATCAGTTGGTTTAATATTGCTTGGTGTTTCCTCTTCACTTGTAGATTCAGATGATTTATCAGTATTCTTATCTTCTTCATCACTCGAATCCAAAAACCGAGTGACATCATTATTCCTAACATTAACAATTGGTTCAATTACTTTGGGTACAACCATAACAGGCGAGTTTTGTTTATTGGTATTAAAACTTCTTGGCAAAGCTTTTGGAGCTTTCGCTTCAATTTGACTTTTAGCATCATGCACATTATGATCTCTAGGTGTTATTTTATGTATTGGACTATTCGATGCTAAACTCCCAACGGAATTCTGTCTGCGTATTGTTACATCACCGTTTTCTCTATGAACACTCGTATTCTTCACAGGTTCAGAGTGCACATTAATAGAAGGCACAGAACTTGACCTAGCTGTTAAATTACTCTCCCAGGCGTTTAACTTTTGCCAAAACGCAGTCATCTGCGCCTCCATTTTGATTAAACTCCCCGACAACTTCAAATCCAAAATATGCTCCAATGTTTCCCTTTGATGCTCAGCTTCTTTCGCTAGTTTCTCTTCTATTGACCTAATCACAACCTGACTGCTTTTATTTTCAGTATTAGACGATTCATCAACACTCGTTCTTCGTGAAGAAGCATCATTAGTATCATTTGTTGATGTTGCAACTGTTTGAGATGTTCTATCACCATCTTCATCATGTGATTTGCTTAGTTTTCTTGGTGTTGGCTGTGGACTCATAGAAGTACCTTCACTTACAGTGTTTTTCAGTTCAGTCTGTGTGGAAGATTCAGCTTTAACTAAGTTTAACTTGGAATTATCTGCATCAGTTGTGTCAATTGTCACAGTCACAGAAGAACCTTTTGCTTGAATGTTTTCATCTTGTTTATCTATTCCACTTTGAATTGTGGTAATTGACAAATTCTTCTCCACACGTTCTTTAATATACCTCTCACATATTCCTTTATAAAAGTCTTCATCTTTCAATGAGTTAATTTCAGTCTCAATGTGATTCTTTAACTGTTCAAACTTGAATTGAATCGAGTTTTCTTTCACATCGTCATTATTAGGTTCAACAGATTCAAGTTCTTTTTCTTTATCATCTTCACTTTCTTTCGGGCTTATTTTTTCATCTTTATCTTTTTCATCAGATTTATTTTCGTTGTTTAAAATGAATCTTTCTGTACTGTTCAATCGTTGTTTCAATTCTTTAATTTCAAGTTGCAACTTATCCGCTTCAGTCTGCATTTGATTATCATGAACTACAAAATGTCTTCGTCTCTGGTGAGCTAATAAATACTCTTCGGAATAGAAAGTTTTGCCACATTCGTCACATTTGAACAAAGCAGTGGATAATGTTGCTTTCAATTCGTCGTATTTTCTTTTAACTGTTTCATTATCTAACTGTAACTCTTTTAAATAAACTTCTAAATCTGATTTTTCGTCGTTTATAGCTACTACTTCGTTTTTAATAAGCGCTACGGTGCTGTCGAGATACTTTTTGCAGAATATTAAATACTGAATCGCAAGTTGTGAAAGACGGAATAGTTTTATAAAATTTGGCTCGAGCACTTTGCCCATTTCATTGTCAAGGCGGAAATTTAATAAAGTCGGAATGTGTTTCACCACGGTTGGTATATCTCTTTCTTTAGCTACTTTATCTACATCAACAAGGCCTATAAATAACAATAAAATAAGAAAATCGTATGATTTGTTAATTATAACCCACCTATTACACTGATATCAAACCCATGTTTCATATCATACTCTTCAAAGGCGAATCCGATGTCCCATGCAAGCCGCACATAATCGTAATGCAAACAATCTTCGGTGTTGCACATTATTCCTGTGGTTTTATGTTAATTTAACTTAAGTTGCAAATGATTTACTTCATGTTATTTGGCATTAGTGTTATCACCACCACCGTTCATGAATAACTGTTTTAATAAGTTAATGAATACAATAATGTCCACAAAGCCAAAGTTGTATGAATCGTCGGTTGTCATTAGCAACGGTCTCTAAATAAACCCAACGCACGTGTCGCATATGCGCACGCAGTCTTTCCGATCCCAGAAACCCACTAACCCCAGGTTACTCGTGGACTTTACCATAAAATCAGGCTATTTAAGACGTTTCTCGTTAAAATATTAATCACGACGATAAAATTATAAATCACAAACGTTTCGGTTGGAATTTGAAGTTGATGTGACAATATTCAATGACAATTTGGATTAAATATAAACCAAACTACTTGATCCGTATTTAAATGAAGTAAATACTAAATTCAGAACTTTACAGTACCCCTGTAGTATGTTAATGATACGAAAATGGCGAGTTGCTGTAGAACAACGCATGTTAGTGTTTCCCGCTCATTTTATTGTTGTTACAACATATTTATAGGACTGATAATACATTAACAAAGACAGAATACATTTTTTGTTTTTTATTCACTTGTATATAAGCCGAAGTTTACACACAAGGGTTTTTCACAAGTATTTTTACGGAAAATTCGTTCCTTCAATGTGCACGCCGGCCGAAAAATCTTGTTCTGCGAACGATCGCTCGCATTGTAGAAGCGAATTCAACCTGTTTGGACAAAACTTCAATAAGTTACAATTTTACAAAAGTCCTCATGCAAAGATTAAATTCTACTTGAATTAAAGAAAATGTAGAGCAACTTTAGAGCCGTTCATGTTATACTCAACATAACGGAGTGGAGCATACCCCTTTGATATATCCCCCCAACAATGACAGCCTGTTATGAGCACACAGGTGCCTAAACTGAAGGGAATATTTCAATTAAACAAGCTACATCATTTAATTAATTTTGCTTCATGCAAGTTTATAATATAAATGGAGTGGCTTGCAAAATAATAGGCTTAAGTGTGGAGAAGTATTGCTGTACTTACATGGAAAATGTGTAGCAGGCAGGCATCTACTTAGACCTCGCACGCATCTTCCTGCGCTTACGCTTTAGCCTTCGCATACGCTTCTTACGCCACTGTAACAAGAACACGTGAGTTTTAGCAAATATATCGAAGAAAGGTTAGGTTGCAGAGAGCAACTACGCATTGAAAACGAATTACTATAAAAATTTAAGTGAAGGAAAGAAACCATTACTATAAATTACTTTATAATTATCCGCATGTATGATAAAGTAAATACTTTAGAACCGGCACATTATGTTACAACTTCAACGGGGAAAACAATCCGCCATGAACACCATGGTAAACAATCGATCACACACGCACCAAACCGACGTAGAAACAGTAACAAGAAAATACTACAAATTATGTAATGAAATAAAATATTACCTTCGCTCTCATCCTCGGGCTGTTAAAAGAAGTCTAGAACGAGGATTGAATCCTCAAACTAGATGATTCTTGAAATAACAGCGGATTTGTTGTACGTCTGTACGACACGAAGATGGGAATGAGAAAGAACGACGGGCAAGCGGAAATAAGTCAACTCGGTATACGGCAGCGCCAGGCATGGTGGTCACTTGAGAGAACTAAACGCAGTTGTCAGCACTGCTTTCCGTAAATTCAAACCGCGCGAAATATAAAATTTCTACTGTAAACACAAACCATATGACGGTTGTTACCCGTAATTTGTTTTGCTTTGGCGCCAATTTAAAGTCGTTAACCTGTTGTGACCATTGCACACAAAGGAGTTAATCCCTCTAAATTCTATCGATTCCAACACTAATGATAGTAATTAGTGTGTAAATAAAGTGCCTATTCAGTGAAAAATATATCTATTCTTCGAAGTCATCAAAAGTTGAGGAATAAATGCCCGGAAAGCAAAATGGTTACTAAAATTTAGTCTCTGACCAACCTCTCAAGCAATAACTTGAAGTTATAACTTAAACTTTTTATACTTTGACGAATAATTGATAGAAATAAGTTTTAAAATGCCTAAACAAGTTGTGCCTGAAGCTCCAATCACGCCAAGTGGAAGAATAACCAGGGGTGCAGCCAGAAGAAGTTCCATCATTGTTGAAGAATTACCATTGAGGCCATTCCAAGCAAGGAAAAGTGTGAGAGCAAAAATTGTCTATTCAGATGATGAGAGTGATACAGAAACAAAAGATAAATCCTATCGAAATGTACCAATTAATCTGCCAAACAAAAGAAAATCTGTTGTTAATAAACCAACAAAACTTGAAAAAGTTCCAGAGAAGAAAGCAGAGCAAAAACCAATCATTAAAAAAGATAACAGAAAAGATGTAGAGTGTATTGTGATATCATCAGATGAAGAAGAAGAATTTATAACGCCCATCAGTCCAGTTAAAGCCAGAGTGATATTAACACCAAAAAAGATTGGCAGATTGTCTCAGTCACCTCTATCAAGCCCTACAAAGTTACTTCTAACACCAAGAAAGAAGAAATCTCTTGAAGATATAGAGAATATGGGTAATGTAACACCTCCAAAACTAAAGAAAACTGAAGATAATGGACAAATATTGTTTAGTCCAACAAGTTTATTTAAAAAGTTAGATTTAAACAGTCCAAAAAGCAGAAAGACTTTGAAGACACTAGAACTGTTTATCAGAATGCTAGAAAGGCTCTGCATAGTACTGTACCAGTTGAAATGCCTGGAAGAGAAACAGAACATCAAGAATTAAGGACATTTATTACACAACATTTGAAAGAACAGTCTTCTGGGACTTTATATGTGAGTGGACCGCCAGGCACAGGAAAAACTGCTTCTTTGTCTAAGATTTTGAAAGAACCCGAGATTGAAAGTCAGTTTAAAGAAGTTTATGTCAATTGCACAGCTATTAAATCCTCTGGATCTATTTATTCAAGAATTATTAAAGAGTTGGGTATTAAAACGTCAAGCAAAACTGAAAAGGAGTGTATTGGTGTAATTGAGAATTATTTAGGAAGAAATCACAAAATGATGTAAGTAATATACAAAAATGTGTGTTTATTATTGATTTTTAATTAAATTTTGTTATTTTTTGACAGTTTGCTTGTTCTGGACGAAATCGACCAACTTGAAAGTCGGAATCAATCGGTTCTCTACACGATTTTCGAATGGCCATCAAGGAGCAACTACAAATTGGTTTTGATTGGTATTGCCAATGCTCTGGATTTAACAGATCGAATTCTTCCACGTTTACAAGCTCGTCTGGAGCTAAAACCTAAATTAATGCACTTTGCACCGTATACAAAACCACAAATCGTTGATATTTTCACCAATCGTTTGAAAACCGCCGGGGTACTTGATTTATTCCACCCGGTTGCTGTTCAGATGTTAGCTGGTAAAGTTGCCGCCATTTCGGGTGATGTCCGACGTGCTTTGGACATTGGAAGAAGAGTTGTTGAGATAGTAGAGCAGCTTAAGAAACAAGAAACGTTGAAATCTATTGAAAATCACAACATTCCGGATGTAGGATTGCAGAGTGCTAACAAAGCAGTCGATTTGAAACACGTCGTAGGTGTTTTAAACTCTGTGTATGGTACTTCTAATAATTTAAACAACGAAGATGGCGAAGACTCATTCCCGTTGCAGCAGAAAATTGTCGTTTGTACTTTATTGTTGATTATTAAACAGGCGAGGAATAAGGATGTTACTATTGGGAAACTACATGATGTTTATAGGAAAGTTTGCACAAAGAGGAATTTATTAGCTGTGGACCAGGCGGAGTTTGTTGGACTTTGCTCGTTGATTGAAACGAGAGGTATTTTAAGGGTTTTCGGCCGGAAGGAGCCACGATTGCATAAAGTTACTTTGGAATGGGATGAGGAGGAGGTTTGTGGTGCTTTGAGGGATAAACAATTGATGAGTATGATTTTACAAGATACTAGTGTTCTTGGCAAGATGTAGTATTTTACTTTTTTAAATGTGTGATTCTATTTTAACTATTTGACTTCAGAAATCTATTAAAACAAAATGATTTTAAGCACAATTCAAATGTTTTTATTTCAAACCCCTCCCAATTTATATCATGGTAACCTTAGTTTTGTTGAGTGTTTTGTTCATTTCATATTTCACAAAATTATTGAAGAACTTTAAAGATGGATATTTTAACAACTAATGATTCTTCAATAATACTTAATCCTACAATCGTAAAGTAGGAAATTGTAACTTTCGAAGTTACAAAGATGTTTCACAACCAGAAACAAAATCAACTTTACCAACTCAACTAGAACCCTATTTAGATAATGATGGTAAACTGTTTTAAAGTACAATAATTTCTAAATTATTCATTCTTTTAATTTAGAGGAAATGGTTAACTGTGCTGAGTATGATGATGACTTAGAAATAACCCTAACTAAAGGAGGAAAATTCATTACTGAGTTCCATGTTGCTTCGTAAGTTTTTGAAATAAACATGAATACATCTTTAAAACATAAAACTTTAGGGCTTTTTATGGAAATATAATAGGAATGAAAGGAAATCGCAAACGTGAAATTGAAATGAGCACAGATACTTCAATAAAAATCCCAAAACATGGTGAAACAGGCAAGATTGTCATCACAGGACCCACAGAAAGATCTGTGGCATCAGCCTGGTCAAGAGTGAACATGATTGTGCTACAAAACAGAGATAATAAGCAAATAACTCACTTTGTCTCCATTCCTGTGGTATCTGAAGAAATTTGGAAGAATTTCGATGATTTTAAGCAGAAAATTGTAACTGGTCCTCCATTGAGGGGTGTTGATGAGACTGTGTTCCAAACACCAGGAAAATTACATCTTACAATTGCTCCTTTAGTGCTTTTGGATGATAAAGAGATTGAAATTGCTGTGGAAGCACTGCACAACTATAAAAACACATTGAGTGAGTTGTTTTTAAACTCTGGACCAATTAAAATTGTCCTTGAAGGCCTGGAAATCATGAATGATGATCCAACTGCTGTGGATGTTTTGTATGGCAAAGTAAAATTTAATTTAACGAAGTATAATACACAGTTTCAACGAATGGCTGATAATATTGTTCAGTTATTATCGAAAAAGGTAATATTTAGATCATTTATAGGTTAAAACATTATTTAACCTCACTTATGCCTATTCTATTGTTCTTATACAGGTCTTATGCGGAAACAATATGATAACGTTAAACTGCATGTTACATTGATGAATTCAATGTTTAGGAAACGCGCCCAGGAAAGCAACACACGCGAATCATTTGACGCATCTTATATTTTACAAAAGTTTAAAAACTTTTACTTTGGTGAAGCAGAATTTAAAGAAGTGTCACTTGTGATTAGATTCACTGTTGCAGAGGATAAATTCTACGAAAGACTTACCACAATCACATTGTAAAAATAAATTTTGTTGATTTTAGCACCAAAATAACTTTGTTTGAAGTTAGCCATTAATTTCCTTACTATAACCACAAAAGTGTAAACAAATATTTTGTTTCTCTGGATGCTGACGTTCACTTCCGGTTTACAATTTATTTACAAAACATTTTTTTCTAATAATTCAACTAAACTTTAACAAAATAAAGTGTAATGTAGCGTCGCGTTCATTTGATGAACCTTTTAAACAAAAATATATAAAAAAAAAACTTAATTTTTTTAAATAAAAAAATGTTTTACTAACCATTGATTTAGTTTACACAATCCCCACGTATAAAATCCACAGCGCAAAGAGTAACAGGGCGAGAATGAGGAAAGTCATGAAGAGATTCTGCGCTTCGCTCGGCGTCGCCATTTTGATTCAGGCTGTAAACCTGCAAATCATTTCCGGTTTGAATGAAGATGTAAAACAATCACGAGTAAATTATAGTTCACCTTTGTATTTGGAGACAGCACTGGGAAGCGATCACGCCTTCTGGAATTGCGCGTGCCGAATGCCAGCCGTGAATAAAATTCTCGCAGCGCAACTCGCATATATGCGGGTGGGGTGTTTCACTCATCCGTCTCGCCGCTTTTCATCATTCCGGCGCAGATTTCGCTTGTTTATTGCTCGTCCGCCATAAATAGCGCACACAAGTGGCCGCGGCCATAAACAAGATGGCGGCCGGCAAGCGATTGATAAATGCGTTTCGATGCGCACAAATTGCGCCGCTTTAAATAGCCACCTTTCGAATGATTGCTGGTAAAAATAATCGAATGGCAAATGCGTTCGACGCGGCAACGCATCACCGAAGTTAATGGATGCTTTTTATATCCGAACCTGATGTAACGTCTCACATCATCTCACCAACGCAAACGTGACAAGAGCGAAAATCTTTCGCGCACATGGCTTGAATTTCAGTGCCCTAATTACGCCGACAGATGTAAAACATCAAAAACTATTCAGAATGCAATCATCTTCATGTTTCACGCGCCGCTTACCAACAAAACGTCCATGATAGTTGCTTTTTTCCATTTCAAATCGGCAATTTAAAAAACACAACGAATTTGTTATTGTTTCTGCTTTGATTCGACGCGATTGAAAACGCAATTTGTTATTCTTGCTAAACGAAAATAACTTTTATTCGATATCCATTCACACTTCGGTTTTATATCACAGCTTAAATTATTTTTGACGCGTTTGTTATATTTACCGACTTAACCTTCACTTGTGGACGCTGCATTGTCGATATTACAGGTTTCTTTATCAAAATAATTGTTATTAATCACATATCGAACACATTGTAAGATCACATTACGCTCATGTCGAATTTCTGTGTCTAATAACTTTTGTAACAGTGTAGGTCTACGAGGAAGTCTTACTTTTTGTACAGGAGAAAACTTTTTACTATTTTTTACCCGTTTTGGTGGTATTGGCACATCATCTGATGTTGCAGGTTGTGAAACAGGTCTTTTTCGTTCAATACTTTTCATTTCTGTAGCTTTATCAGGTATATCTACAGGTTGTTTCAGTATCTTCACCTCAGTAATATCATTATCATTAGATTCCGCGTTTATTTCAGTCTTTTCAATGGTTTTATCATTGTTATTACTGGAAATATTACTAATTTTTGATATTTTTCCTCCTCGCTATCAGATTCATAAGCTCCCATCAAAGCACCAAGCGCATTGTTAAGTACAACTTCTTCCTCCACATTATTACCTTCAGTTTGATCCCATTCATCATCACTAAACGCTTCTTTCAACTCATCCTCACTAGATTCTTCATCTTGCAGCAATTTTGTCCCTCTGAACGGAAACATGGTACCATTCCAATCAAGTTTCTCATCAATCAAACTTACAGCTTCCTCATTTTTCTTCTTAACCAGCTTCTTTTTCTTTCTCTTCGCTTGTTTCTGCTTCTCACGTTTTTCTCGCTTTTCAGCTGCTAAATTTTTTGCCCTACCAAACCGATCCTTATTCGGACCAATTCTCTCACCACGTTTCAACATCTCCGCTTGTTGTTTATACCTTAATTCTATATTAACCTTACTCGGATAATTTTTCCGGCGCTGTTCACGCCACTTCTCAATATCCTCCGGCGTGGAGATGTTTCTAATCTGATCATAGAGCCCGCTCGAGTGTTGCATCTTGATATGCGCCATTACCAGTAATTCATGCGCGTTGAATTTGCATCCGTCAATGCCGCACGTTTGATGCTCACCTAAATGACTCCGGAAGGACTCTTCATCATCATAAGTACGATCACAAGGCTCGCAGAGATACTCGGCCTCGTCATCGGCGCATTCATCTTCGTCAGGACTAAACACCTGGAAAATATTTGTTAGTCTCATACATCTAACACGTAAATCAAGATGGCGTCCTTTATCCAATGAAATATTAACACAAGCTAAGTGTTTGATGGTGGGTGATGCTGTAAATTTTGGACTTAGATGCTTTATTAGAACACGTAACAAAGAGGTACTTTTTGTGTGTTAATATACAGGGTGTTGCCAATGAAATAAAATTTCGAAACTTGTCACAATACACTAGAGCTTAGCACTAAAAGATTGGAACACCCAGTCAACTAATACGTTTGCACTTGAGAGCATTACTTTCTAAATAAATATTAATTTACTTAATAATTGAATTATGTTAGGTTTTTGGGCGGAGCGTGGTCGTGTTTTTGGCAAAGAGGTATGAAAGACACCACGCTCCACGCATTGAGGTACAAATGTTACACTATTTCCTGTAGTGAGTTAGTTTTTTTCGAGTGAAAACAAGTAATTTTTGTTTCTATCAGATTTACGCCGTAGTTTCGGCGGCCGGCGTAGCGCCTTCGGGTTTTTTAACTTCGCCAACTTTCGCCTCAGCATTGTGCATTGTCGAGTCGAGCTGAGGCTTTTTGTTAGAATTTAGTTCGGCCATGATTTTGCCTACGTCCTGAAAACAGACACCAACCGTGTGGCATTATCACAAATTTCTACAATCGAACAGAAATGAACTGAAGAACAGAAAAACAAAGCTAAATGTTAAACACGCGCGAATTGGATAAACATTGGATAAGAACCAAAAAAGTTAGTGATTAGTAGTGGTGTACTTACTTCCTCAGGGTGTTGTCCAATGAATTCTAGTTTGAGTGCAGAGTACATGTGAACACATTTATCTTTTTGCTCCTTGAACGCAGCCCAATCGTCGGCTTTGTTTGAACTCTTTGCTTGATCAAAGAGTGAATCTTTCTTGGCGATTTCTGCACGCAGTTCGTCGTTGACCCAGGGTCTTGTTACGTAGAAACTGCGGAATTTCAGCTTCTTTTTCTTCATTTTTCCTTCGTTTTGGACCATTTTGTTTAGTTTTTTGATTGGCGGTCGCATGGGACGTTGTGGGCGCATCATCGGAGGCATCATATGGGGTAAAGGAGGTCGCATGCGGGGCATCATTGGGCCCGCACGATTGTGTGGGCCTCTGGGACCCATTGGTGGGCCAAAATGCCTGATAGGTGGTCCCATACCTTAAAAATCATAATATTTATGTTAAAAGTTAGCTTAAACGATTAAAAATAACAAAATTCACATTTCTAGCCTCTATCGAATTAATTTATTCTAGAAAATCTTATTTACCTGGGAAAGGAGGAGGCCTAGGACCCATTCCTCTCATTGGACCACAAGGTCCTCCACCTCGTCCTCGCATAGGTGGCCGCATACCGTTTGCCATGTTCATCGGTGGCCATGGACCGCATCTAGGCCTCATCTACATAAATAAGATCAATAAATGTCTATCTAACTTTACGATATTTCGAAAATATATAATGTACATGTATGATTTTGTAGGTTATAACTAACATTCATGCAAAACACACGTGCAAATGCACGTTTTTCACTTGTTTCTTTTGAGAGAAAGTAAAATGCGTAAAGCTTGTATGATTAATACTTACTTTTAACTATTTATCGTTTATTTATTATTAAAACTCGTCAAATTATTAAGAAACATTCACTCACGGAAACATACGATTGAAGATTGCTCAAGATACAAGGCGGAGCACCGAGGTGTAGTTGAAGACCAATAGCAACCAATCAATAAAACGAGCGCAAGCGGAGAAAAACGAACGGACACGAAATATACGCGCCTAAAATTAAACGAACTTTTAAAGATAGACTTGTTAAAAACGTGATTAATTAAGTGTAGAAACGTACTCGGATACTTTTCTTTAAAGAAAATAGGTAAAATTTTAATAAATTGTGAAGAAAATATCTTGAAATATAAAAGAAAACGTCGAGAATTCAACAATTTTGCAATATAAAAAGGTGCGTAATAATTTAACCTCAAAATAATTGTCTAAAAAATGTATTTCTTACAAATTATACCATCAAAACGGATCAACATCAAATTCATTTTATATAAACTTCTCTCAATCTGCTCGATAATAGACTTCATATTTTCATATTCATTCATCGGTAACGCACATAAATCTCAGTATTATACGGTCATAAATAAAACACTCTGATAAATCCACACTATTCGCACAATAAAGCTCAAGAAAAGTTTAAAACCACATAAAATACAATCAAATAAACATAATACAAATATTGCTTCATCACAGGGCATATCATTTTCATTTCTCACAGTCGAAAGCCGAATAAGACGCTAATTTTAAACAAAAAACATTGTAATATTTATTGAAACTGCCCCATTTTCATCCCTTCATAATTGCGATGACTAGTTATAATTATGATATGTTAAGGATCATTTATATTCAATTTTATCATTTTTTCAATCTCCGAATTGAGTCGCATTCAATAGGATACCCGAAAACATAAAATATCTGAGTATTTAAAAAATGGTATGAAATTGTTCCCATTTTTTGTGTTTCATGAATTATTTACGCGTCGAATGCTTAAAGTTTAAACATTTTCATATAACATTGTCATGTGTGGTTGCTACATGTTTAAAGTGTTTAGAAATCGCTGCTTTGATGTGTGAAAACAAGTTTCCACAACAATTTACATACTCATCCACACAAAAACTAAGAGAAAACAACTAAAAACATAATTTAGACGTTATTATCATTATCATATATATCATATATCATATATATCCTAGTCTAGTATATACAATAGATCATTTATTGGTTGTTAACCATGTTTTTAAAGGTTTTTAATTTGATTAATTTAATTTTTAAGTTTATCTCTGAATCTCACGCCTTATTTTTATTCATTTACGATTTATCTTATTTATTTTGTGCAAAATTCCGTGTTTGTTTATGCATAGCAGTTTGGTTTCTTGCTGTCAGTTTGGCTGATGTACTTTGGCCCACATTGAATAATTCATGATTAGGATTTACCGATAATTTTCAAGATATTTAAGATTAGTGTATCAGTCATTATCTTCTTTGATGAATGTAATACTGAATGGTAATGTAACATTTGACTAGAGTAACAAACAATTAACATTTCGTGTGTGTCGAATATAATAAAGATTAAAAGGTGAAACATCAACATAACCTAAGTTGTTTGCATGTTTGGTTGCCTAACCTCATGGTCATCACAAGTAACTAACAATAAATTTCTCTAGAGATTAGGAAATATTATGAATACATGTGGCAATAGAAACGTTATAAAATGCATCATTGGAAAAATACGCGCTGATATACGAGTATCACCAAAATATATCGTATGAATTATATTTTCATTATTTTTTAAAGTTTTTTTCTTTTTATCATTTGATTCAGCGTTCTTTAAGTACATATTTAATTGATTCATCGATTTAAAATCCCGTTTAATCGTAATAATAATTATTAATTAATCAGTTAGCACCGGTCGCTTATTAACTCCACGTTGAATTTCATTAATTTCCGAATCAGAAGCAAAAATTGTCGAAATTTAGCATTTTTCTCTCTAAAAGTTTAATGTTTTTAAAGCCAGGGAAGAATACTGAATGGTCGTTTTGATTATTGTTGCGGGTCGTAAATCTCGTTATTATTGTTAGTGAAATTATGCTAGTTTTAATGATTTTCTTTTCATCCCTTTGATTAAAAATTGATTCATAGCTTCAAGTTGAGGTTAGATCTCTTATTTCAAACTGTCAGCCGATGTGCAATTGTTTTCCTTGGGTCGTGGCAGCATGACATCTTCATACGGCGGTACATTCGCCTTTTTGAATTCATCCCTCACTTTTTCCACTTCCTGCATGACGCGTAGAAAATTAAGCCCGGCGAGTTTGCGCAGATCATCCACCGTCCATTTCCCAGTCGCCATTAACTCAGCGAATAGCGTCGGATACGTCGACACATCTTCCAGTCCTTGCGGGACGCTAAAATCGAAACCGAAAATTAGTTTATGTTCTCTGTTTGTTTGTGTTTGCATTGATAACATAGGCAACCAGTCGTATTCAATCACACAATGTGACATACACATGCTATTAAACACACTGTATGTTCGTTTTGTGCGCGGATTAAGCTCAGACTCACCGGGGGAACAAGAAGCATGCGAACTAGTGAAGGGAACAGTGCCTACAGTGCCTGCAGGAGCACGGATAGGGATTAAGGCCATACATCTCGGATGCATGCGGACAATTACTATAATGTTATTGGATTGCATCATGCGCTCAGGGCACGAACACTTTCACATACATAGGTATATACACACAGGTAGGGATGAACTTACAAATTGATGCCGTCGTAGCCAGCACCCAGACCGACGTTATCGACGCCGGCCACCTCTCGGATGTGATTTATGTGCGCTGCGGAAACAAAAAACCCAACGTTACACAAAGAACTTTGCTAATGAACACAAAACCATAGCTTACCGACTGCATCCGATACACTGGCGACGTCCTTACAGGTTAGAAACCGCGAGTAGAAGTTCACCATCACGATGCCTTTGTTGAGCGCCACCTTGCGGAGCGTTGCATCGGGTACATTCCGCGTCGAATTACAAAGCGCATGCGCAGACGAGTGGCTGAATATAACCGGTGCTTTTGACACTGCTAGCGCATCGTGCATCGTCGCCACTGACACATGTGAAAGATCCACAATCATTCCGAGGCGATTCATTTCCTTCACCACAATCTAAACACACAAATATTTTAATCAAGGTCAAAGCAAGTAAATATTAAAGGTTATGTAATATCTCTGGTTCAATCAAGACTTCCCTCTGTATTTGCACAAAGAACATTTCGAATTGTGAGAGAAAATGAAGTCGAAAGACGTTGTCGTTAACGTATTAATGCATTCCGGGGCGCTCGTCGTTTCACCCTCATAATAATATGCGAGAGTGCGTTCATTAATTACGCTCGAACGGACGGCGGAGATTTTCCCGAGTTTTACGTGCTTAGCGTGCGGAATGTGCGCCGTTCATTAATTTACATTATCGCGCATTTACGCGACTGACGACCTCGCAATGTCCCAATTTCGCGAATTGAATAAAATATCAATTTACGCAGCGCCATCTACCGACGAATAATTACAACCACTTACACAGCGTTTACACATAACCGCAAATGTGATGATGATTTTTATTGTAAGAGATTACCTACTCGATTTATCACCGTCAAAACGTGCGGCGGCGTATTTTTTGGTTGCAGTTCACGGCTCATTGTCGCCGGAGCGCATTAATCAGGGAATTAATTAACTGTCATCGGCGCGCCCGGCGCATCCACCACAAGAAGGAGGACGTACGTCATCGTGTGGCCGATTACTTCACCGTCGTCGTGTTTGCTTACACAGCTTACTCGTCGTCGGCTGGCAAAGAAACCAAGCGCGGCGAGGACATTGTTCACGAGCGTCTCCCGAGGCTCGCGTTGATGAGAGTCAACAATGTCGGATATAAATTTTATGAGCGCGCATGCAACCGGTGCAACCCCAGCACTTGCCAAGATGACATGATGACATGATGAGAGTCATGCTTTAACTTAACCGCATGTTGTACGTGCTTGTGCATAAGCAATTCGTTGATTATTTCGTAAAAATAAAACGCGAATGAGATGCAGCGGCCATTTTGTGCATTCATGATTAATTGGGATTTTCGGTTGGAGGTTCGAATAATAAATTATTTTGTCATTATCTTGGTGCAGTCATTAAAAGCAGATGTGAAACGAAAATAAATGAAATGAAATTGGAAAATCATAATCCCACGGATTAATTATGTATGATAGCAGTAATAGTGCTTCATAAAATATTAAAATATTTGTAATGCTGGAAATATATTACAAAATATTGCGCTAATGTGAGGTTAACGCCTGCATAACTTCAATTTATAGTTATTATGAGTTTTTAGGCGCGATTTTTGGTAAAAAAGTAATTAAATTTTATTTTCTTGAAAGTAGAAAAGAGAATTGCTAAAAATACACTTTAGCGCCATCTGAGAGACAGTTATTTAACTAAAACTATGAAAAAATCACCATATAAACTTTAATCCCTTATTTAACCACTTTTCACTAATTATATTTAACATTTTAATGATTATTATCCTATTAGAGATAAAGACGAATATAAAAAATCATAAATCATCAAAATCTGACCAGCCGTTCTCGAGTTATAAACGTTGTAACTAACAAAACGTTGTTTTTTACATAAAAACATCAAAAATACTTACTTTTCCAAAATTATTAAGCCCACCATTATCAGGCGGTAAATTCGAATTGGAACATTCCGCCCATGGAGTATTGCATGACGAAGTCAACGTCAAATATCTCACACCCACGTGATACAGCGATCGCAACACTCCCAAGCTCCCCGCGAGCGAATGCCCGCCTTCGACGCCGATCAAAGAACACACTTGGTTTTTACTGTGCGCGTTTTTGATTTCTGCAAGCAAATAAAACAACAAATTGTGAAAATGTGTGTTGCACGATGCACGCTGGATAAAATTGAGTTGGTGCCATTGGCGCACGAGTGGCAGTTATAGTCGAAACGCATCCGCGAATGGCCGCGCCAAAGCTCATTATTATTTCAACAAAGTGCTTTTATGCGCGCACGTTCCTCGCCTGGCATAACTGGCATGGCGCGGAGCACAGACGGACGAACTAATAATTGCATAAAAATTCAGCGCGCAGTAATAACATTTTCATTTCTCATCGTGTGCTGGAAAATGCTATTTACATTCGTATGTGTGTCTGAGAGCAGGGCACATTTTTTACTTTCACATAGTGTTAATTATACTCACATTCACTACTCGTATGTAAATCAAACTGCACATAACCTAACTTATTGGCTAGTGTTTGCTTAAGATCAGTTTCAGTTATTTTAGGTTATGTATTGTATTGGTATGATATCGTATTTACCTTCCGCCGACGTGCACAGCGTCAGTGAGGGTTGATAGAGTTCGGTCAGTCTTCTAATCACGTCGATCTGCTCGAGGGTCAGCTGCACAGCGTCCTTGTACTGCGAATTGCACGGCACGTACGCCGCCCAAAACTAGAACAAATAAAAACACACTGTATAGCTATATCTAACCTTTGTTCCTAAACTTTTGCATAAAGAGACAAGTTTCCGGTTTCCGGTTTCCGGTTTGCATAAATTCGTTGACCACATGGTCATTAGACGCAGCGCGTGTGAAGATTTCCAAATTTCTTAGTTAATCATGAATGATCCCTTCGAAAATAGAATTCAAACCTTCAAACCCACTTTAAGGTCTTAACATCTCCTCTCATGGGAGTTGTAGAGTAGGATACGCATGTTTTTTTTCTTGGGGATCCGTTGAGGATGTGTATCATGCTTTTTATGCGTGCGGTCATCACGCTCGCTCATCTCATAGTTTACTTATGGGCTGGTGTGATACCGAATCCGATAAACAAGCAGAGAGCAAAACATGATGCTGGTGTTGTATTTTTTTGGTTACGCGCATGGACTTCACAATAGGTATGCGGGACAGAGGGATACCGATGGTTTCTATTATTCATGATGGCGCGACATTTAAAATTCCGTATAACGTCCGAGGCGCTGCGGAAAAGTGGGCCTCTATTATGCATCCGGCAGGTGGGTTTTGCGCAAAACCCGGAGAATGAGAGATATATCGCTCGAGCGATTTACGATTACGTTTCAATGTTGTATAAACATGCTTGCTGTGCGCGCTACCGACACCCAGGTGAGAGCCGAAAATATCAAAATATAAACAGATAAAATGAAAAAGAAGACGTATAAACGTTTCGTGGAGATAACATAACCTATCCGCATTGGGTCGCTGGGGATCTGTCAAAAAAATTCCGTATTTTCTGTCAAATAAAACAGGAAATAATATCGCTGTGATGTTGTTATGTTTTTTTTTTTTTTTTTTCTCTTCTTGAAGGTTTTAAGTTAAATTCTTTTTATTTTTTGGGTTTAATGCGTGGATATGGAATAAGAAAATAGATTTTCTTCACGAGCCACTCCGCATTCTTTTTTCCGTACGTTGAAATGTTCTCATCTCGTTGGTCTTGAGAGTATTTTACTCGGCACTTCCGGTTTTAAGTGAATTTATTGCGACGGAAACTTTTTGCGCGAGTCTTGTTTTTGCCCCGTCGTCGACCACCGGCTTATAATAGAATATACCACGCACGCAATTCGAGCTTTCCAGCTTTCCAACCCCTCGAGCCGGAATGCAATTTGAATACGGAACGGGCGCGCGCGTTTTTTTCATCATCGCTTGTTGCCAACATAAACATTGCGCGCCCGGCTCGACCTTATTATACCCCACGTAAATTACTACAAAAATTACAATGAAATAAAAACGGGAAAACGACGAAAACAACAAGTGCTTTATGCTGATGCGGCGCCGTCCGCATTTTGGCGCACAGCCGCAAAAAAACGAGACGCATTATAAGTTTGGCGCGAGAGGAGGAAGTCGGGAAGATGTTACAATTGAGAACAATCCACGGACAATACGGCACAACAATGAGTGTTTCTTATTCGGGGTAGGTTGGACCACGCGGCCACTTGTGTTGTAGAAGCAACGGAAGACAACCGCAGCATTGGGGGATGAGGATTCCGGGAATGGAGAGGAAGGAGGCAAAAAACCTCCAAACATCTGCTTCCAAATTAGTGGTTTTATTCTATCAAGACCCTTGATAAACCGAGTGTTACTCAACAAAATAATTTTCATCCCTAATAATCAAAAAGTTAAAAAATAAAAATTAATCACAAAAAATTAAAAAAAAAAGAAATTTGTTTGAGGAACACCCTGTATAAAATTTTGTACATGGGTTCAGTAGAAGGTCCAGTTTGTAACTTTGTAATTAATAACTTGCTTTTCTTATTCCAAGTTGTCCGCAGTAATTCCAAGACCAAAATGCAAATATAAGGGTCCAAGGGCTAAGGGTCCAGTGAGGTTCAGAAAATATTCCTCCTAACTTGCCTTATGATGAAGTGAAAAATGAAATTCTAACTTTGTACCAAAAAGAGGAGCGATTCGATAAATAAATTCAACAACTCTGACAGGGTTTGATGTATCCCCTCAAAGTTGCCGGGAGACCTCCCTGAAAGCCATATCTGGATCAATTCATCTTTAACACTTCCTTTGAAATCGCATATCTTCATCTTGTTCAATCCCGATTTAAATCCCAGAAGTGTATCTTCTGATGTTTTGTTGCTTTTACAAAAACACAATAAGACCTCAACTGCCTGCACACATGATGTGGGGTTAGAGGGTAACACTGTCTTGCTTAAAATTGCATCTGGAATTCAAAGTGAGAAGCCTATCGAGGTTGTGGGCATGAATAGTGCATTTTGTTGGAGGAAGAGGTGCACACGTAGGTCATCCAATTGCACGTGCATTTTCCATCAGGAAAACAACGCCATTTGTCCCCTTTGGTGGAACATTTACACCCAAGGTGCATTATTCTGGTTGAATGCTTGGCTTCACGTGGCGAAAATGGCAAATGAATCAATTGTCGACATGCGGTCGAGGTCGACGACGTGCTGGCTCAGTTGAAACCCAAAATGAAGAAAATTCAATTTAACTTTTTCATTTTTCTGATTCCTTGGTATATCCTAGTGTAACTACCACTTTAATAATAATTCTCCATCTTGTTTTGGCGTTTGAGTTGAGTTTTGGTGCCATTTACTCATCCCACTTGCCAATTTCAACCGGTAAACATTCGCTGGCCCCCAAGTTCAATTTCAATCCTGCGCCTCCATCTTGAAAGCAAGACATGCACACCGTGTAATTTTCCACCCGATTAGACAGCGCGCGATTGCAACATTGCTGTAACTACCGATGTCATTACGTTGTAGAAGTGGATACCGCGCCGAACTGAATATCAATTGATCACGTCCGCTGCCCAAAATGTAGATCTTCTTATCTTTACATCAAATATTTCTTCTGATGCTGTTCTAATCCTTGAGATTACAATAATTTATTATTCTGTTGTTTTGGTTGTGATTTTTTGTTGGCTTTGATGTGCTCAAGGGTTGCTATTCAAATGAGAGTGTAATTTGTTTGTGGCCCCGGAAGGAAGCGTTTACCGCCGGGCTCAAGCGGATCGATTCCTTATTGGAAATTCCATTGATTGCGGTTTGATGGCAAAGGCACAACACTATCAATTCCTTCAACTGGTGGTCGGGGTTTAATCGCATCGTTTAGTTACACGGAATAAATGGATTTCAGTAGAGAATAAAATAAAACATGCATTAAGTCACTTTGTGTTTTAACGACTGAAAACTTTAAATTTCGCACGGTCACGATGACTCTCAGTTATATTTCTCGCGTAATATATGTTGCAGTTGAGATCGTACACAACGGTTAGAACAGCGCGTACTGCGCATGCGCGGTTTTACCACCTCCATCCGTTGTGAACGCGTTGCACATTCCTAACAGCAGCCGCGCGGCGAGGTTCGTTCATCGACCGACGCGGTTATAAAGAGAGAGCGGTGTCTCTGCACCTAAACAAAAACGTAACCTCCAAGCGTCTGTTCGGCACATAGTTCCTGGTGTTTTCATCACTAATATGCACAGACATATCAATTAGAAGGCTGATTATCGTTCAGGTTAGTGTACTGTTAGTCTCTGCTACGTTATATATCGGTTTCAAGCGCTGTTATTGATTTTATAGCGATAAAACTCGGTATGCGGTCATAAATGTTTCTGCTTGTGTTACGTCAAGCAAGGTCATGCATTACTGAGTTGCCGCATGAAATGTATCGTGTACCGTGTTTAACCTAAACAAAATTGATTATTTATACAACGCGCATGCGTCATGCGCATATTGTGTAATACACGACGCCATTTTGTGATGTTAAACACATTTAGTTTCATTTTTTGTTGTGAAAACGTCACAATAAGTGATTATTTCAACGTTTACTCGATAAGAATGGAATTCTAAGCATCCGTTGTGTTTTGTGCTTGCAGTACATGCAATGACCCGCCTATTTCGCTGCAAGTCAGCGACGCCAGTAAACGCCAGCGCCGACGCGGACTCCGAGGTCGTAGTCGATTCGTTACTGCTTCGGGACTTGCTCCGCGGTACTTGCACGTACAGATCTTTAAAGAGTTGCCGCACTGATAACTTGGAGCGGTTGCTGTTTAAAGTTCTCAGAATGCACGCGGCGAGCGAAGCGGAAGCGCTCACCAACTTGGAGGTGAAACCCCCGTGGTGGCCCGATGATATTCTGCCGTTTCAAGAGGTGAAGAACGTGCGTGAACAAGTGCACAACGTCGTGGCAACATGGCATTCTACCTTAGCCGCTGTGCTTGATTCATGCGTACAATATTATGGTCGGAAAAGTCTGAAAACCCCACGAAAACCATTAAAGAGACCAGCTATGGATTCCCCCAGATCAATTAGAACCCCAAGCCCCTCTCCTGGTCCTTCTTGTGACCCAGAACCTTCTACCCCGAAACGACTTAAGTTAGACGTTAATGAAATATTAAACTCGCCAAAAACCCCTGTTGTGGTTCTAAAAGACGTGCTCAAAGAGAAGTATCCTGTGTTAGATAAGACGGATTACATGAGTTTCCTAAAATTGCAGCCTACTAACCTCCCAGTGACTAATCCTACACCCTCTGTTATCAATTCACATAACCTACATAAATGGTACCCTTTCAAAGTTCCTTTCTCTTCTCCCTATGGGAAAAGATTGAGGAGTGGGGGTAGATATGGTTGTGTAGATGCAGCCTATTGTAGAAAACGAGACTGGACCAATGCATACCTTGTGGAGAGCACCAGAAGCTCAAGCGAGAGGTCTTCCAAACCGGAGTGCAAATATGAAGTGACGTATAAACCCAAGAATAACAAGGGCTGTGAACGCAGGTATAGCTTCCCACAGCGTCAACATCGGCAACGCCGCAATGCGATCAAGGGTATGAAACAGGCGTTCTGCCGACCTTTGAGCGTGCGTCTCCCTCGGCTGAATATTCAACCGTATCTGCTAAGGGAGCAAATGCAAAGGGTTTGCGTCTACATTGACAAACGCAAGACTGATTCCTATATAGTTGAAAATATTGCTTCTACGAAGGTATAAATAATTTTTTTAATTTTTTGATAATCTAAGTAAGGAAATAACTTAATTTTGTTTTAAAAATTGTTGTAAATTAACTTTAATTTTTTATTGTCAAGATTCGACTTGATTGTTAAAATCATTAATTAAATTTCACAAACAAATACAATATATGAAAGGATTATAATTGTATATTAAGTATCAAGTGAATAATGCCCGTAGATAATGGATATTACTCACGGCTTGACCACCATTTGTGTATAAAAACCGTTTAAAAACTCGCGTTTTATAGATGAAAGTAAAAAAGTTTATTTTTGAGAAATCTGTTAGAAATAGTGTTAATTCAATTGCGCATTCGAATCGATTATTATATTATACGTTAATCCGTTTAATTTTGCCACCGCTATTGTTTGCGCAGCAGCCACACCCCCAGGAAACCCTTGGTGGTGTTTGCACACAGCGCGTTGTTTGCCAACCGCCTGCGGTTTTCCGCGCTGGGGATTTTATTTTATCACCAGTGCAAACAGGAAACTCCTCGAATACAAGTTTCGCTGCGCAGATAAGAGACGATCATAATTTTCGTCCGATTCAATTATCTAGTTGTAGCACCTTTTGCTACCAATTCTCATCTCATTGATTTGCGTTTGAGTTTTGGACCGCTATTGTGTTTGCTCATACTCGTATGTCCTACATTTTCATGTTATTTTCGATATTGCGAGCGTTGTTTATGTTTAAGTTGCGGGTTTCATATTTTGCGCGCAAACTACAACTCGAGAAAACTAAAAAGCGGGTAGTTGAATGAAAGTGGGTCTTATCCATACATTATTAAAAACCGCCATCGAGGAGAATTCAACTTTCAACTTTCCACTTGGAAAATTCAACAGTGGAATTTATTACTTTTCTTTTTCGAATAAAAATATTGAGGACTCTTATTTCAGTTTCAATGCATGTAGAAATCAATATTGCATGACTTTTCTAGAGTTTTCATTATTTGTTAAAAAAACACGGAAACGTTTTTTCGTGACCCAAGTGTAAATATTTAATTAAATCAGTTAATTGCCCTTTCGCCGTTTGCCTCGCGGACTTTGAAGAGGGATTCAATGCAAGATTAATTACAATCCGGCCTGATTTCATCATTTTCCTCTCGACGTCCCTTCATTTTCTTCCTGATATATACCTACACTTGGCCTGTTTCTTCTGCATTCATTTCCAAGACGAAATTAGTTCGACGCAATCGCGTCGACGTCTACGAACACGTAGTTTCGCTCCGACGCACTTATTCATGAACGTGTCCCGCCTCATATTCCGCCCGCCAGTGCCGAATGAATGCATTTAATTTTCAAAACGTTTTCCTTCGATATCGCCCGGAGAAACGCGCGCGGAGGAAATTTATGCAAGCCCCCAAAGGCACATGTGCAAATCGCGCAAATTAAATAGACTCACAAAATGGCCGCCGTGACATCCACGTGAAATTCAATTCATGTCTTTTGCGTTAATTGCAGTCAAAATGTAACAATAAAACATATTTACTTGAATTTTAGTGTAGGACACATTTGAGGTTATGTTTATATCCGGGGCGTCATTTTGGGACATTTAAACACAGTTTATGATGTTTATATGAAGCATTTTACGACTTCATTAATCTTTTTGACTAAATTTTAATTTTAATTGCAAATTGCGTATTTGAATATAATGCTAGTCTGCGCACGCGCGCATAAAAGTGAATTATAACAAGTCGTTATTTAAATTAAACTTTATAATCACCGTACGAATGCTTTCCTCCGCCGGAGGGGGTTACAATGAGCGCACAAGAAAGAATTATAAGAGGATATCATCAAGCGAAAGAGTGCAACGAGAAAAATAATTTCCATTAGCGTGCTGAGTTGAGAGCAGTTTAGTTGAGGGCGGTTCGGTACGCTCTGCTGGATGTTAAAGCGGCGCGACGAAAACATAACCTCCCGTCGCCGCCGCCGCCACGGAGAGTTATGTGACCCGCACAACGCGATGCAATCTCCCGCGTTGTGCTGTTCTGGTCATGGGTTTAATTTAGTAATTTAGCGTTTGCTTTAGAATTCGCCTCCAGATTGAACGGAATCAGCGGAGCGTTCCAAAGATGGTCATTAGTTTATGAAATGTATTATTGCGTCCAATTTACGATTTATTCAACGTCTTCCCTTAGTGCCAGTACAAAAGTGTACTGTATTGGGTGCCAATTGGGAAATTGCACATGTCATTGTTACCAGCAGTCGGTATTGTTGGTTGCAGTTGTTGAGTTTGTCACCAGTCGAGTGTAAGTTACATCGTTGGAAAATTTGGCAATTGATAGGCGTCGAGCGCTTTGGATTGTGTCTGGGCTTATGCCAATGCCAGGGATATTCAGGGATAGAAAACAGACGCGTGTCTAATGGTACTTGCAGGCGGCAATGCTTCGCTGGTTTCATGGATTACCCACGCGAAGTGTATATCCAAATATATCCGAGTGGTGGTTGAGTTAACGAAGGACGACGGATGTATCGAATGTCCGATGCTGCACGAAATGTTAATTGGTCGCAATGCGAAAGCTTTCCCGAAATTCAACTCGAAATTCCATGTTGTGTGTCGCGGCGGCATTGCATTCGTGCGCCGAATACCGATTGGGCCCCATCCCGTCTGCTTCGAACGGATAACGAAATCGACGATTTGCGAAATTGAATGGTCGCGAACGCTTGACGGTTTATTTTTCTGCATGCGCCAGCGAAATGCGGATGCGCGCATGCCGAAATGTGGGGCAATTACGAGTAGGCAGCACGCAAAACATGAATCACCGAGTGACATTGACAGCCACCAGCCCAGCATTATGTACACAACAAAATAACGCAAATTGTGAGTTATGCAAAAGGAGTGTACGAGGGTGTCACATTTGCATTAATCGTTTAATGCAGTATACAAAGCGAAAAATAACATTTCCAGGTATTTCTAACATCATAACCTCAAAATATACATTTTGACACATTAAAATACCTAGCATAACCTCAAATTTAATCTATTTTCATATTTTGTTGATTTTTCGTGATTTTTTGATATTTTCACGTTTAAAACACTCAATATAACAGTTTTATCTCCAAAATGCATTCGAATCGTATCAAAATGATACAAAATGAAGCTAAATACGCTTCCAGTGACACCGGAAGCTCGCACGTCGCTTATCACAAACATGGCGTTCGTGAAGCGGGACGTCCCAGCTAATATCGCTGAGTGAACGACCCGCGCGCTGTGCGCGGTATAATCCTTCTGCGAATGCAGACGAATGCGTTTTGATGAATTATTCTATCAAATGGCGCACCGAGCGTACGCAAATTGATGGCGTTTAGCATTCAGCGTTTAACGACTGAACTCATCTTGGTTAAGCAATTGTATGCCAATCAATCGCGCACTGACGGACGATAACAGAGGCATGGCCGCGGTTTGTGGCCGGCATGATATTATCATGATTGCTTTCCGCTATGCATTAATTCTAACCTCAATTTTGAGAAAATTTAAAATAAAAATTTTGTGTTTTGTTTTGTAAAAATAAAAAATATTAAAAGCATGATGACACCATCCAAGGGCTTAATATCAATTCCGGCTTATGAGAGTACGGTTATCATTCCAATCTCAGCCCGACCGCAAAAATCCCAAATTGGCCGGTTGCGGGGACCGGCAGGACGTCGTTTCCATTACGCGCGTTTATGACCCTCGGGCAGGTTTTTTTCTCGTTCGTTTGCGGCGATGTTTGTTGGGTTGCAGTTCAGTGATCAGACTATGGACTACTTTATTGCTTCATTCTGCGGTTTTGTTGCGTTGGTTGCCTATGGTATTACTTCTATTAAACGCTTTGCGGTTTCCGGTTTGTTGGAGACAAGTAATCGAGTGCATTTTGAGGTTAGACATCATCTAACAACATAACCAAGTATAAAATTTTTATAATAATGCTTGAAAATGTACAAAAAAATTTTGTATGTGCTTTGCAATTAGGAGATTATTATTTTTGATGTTTTCATAGCGGAAAATAAAAATAATTCCACCGCAGTCGTGTTTGCATCCCCTCATCGTTTGATATTTATACTTATTTGCTTATACTTATATTTATATACATAATCTCGAGGAAATAAAAATAAAACCTGTCGGTTTTTCGACTTACCCGCGCCTTTCAGTTCGAGTTTTTTCAGTTCTTCTCGTTTTCGCTTTTTTTTATGCGTTGGAAATTTTTTATGCGGCAGCGAGCATGTTTTCAACGCGCGACTACTGCAGTGCCGACATAACTCAACTCGACTCTGCGGCTTGGGTGACTCTTTGCTCTCTCGCTTAAAATGTAAATGTAAATAAAATTCATAAATATATCGCGACGCGCCGTTGACGAGCGTCGTGCGGCGCGTGCACTTCTAAGCGTCGGGGTGTAAAACTTGCGAAACGAAATCGTGCAACGAATCAAGAAATCAAACCGCACAAAAGTCATGCATACATTTGGCATAAAATATCAATGAAGCTTTTGTAAATTTGGTTTACCACTTGAAATCAAAATAACATACATGCAATCACATCAAGAGTCAAACCTATCAGTTAATAGATGGCGTTGGTTGTTTACGACTATCAAATCAAAAATAAGCAAAATATTTTTAGTGTAAATTTGGTTGCATATCACATCAAGAGTCAAACCTTTTAGTTAATAGATGGCGTTAGTTGTTTAACACTATAAAATCCTAAATAAAATATTTTAAGTGTAAATTTGGTTGCATATCATATTAACAGTGAAACCTTTTAGTTAATAGATGGCGTTGGTTGTGTAACACTATAAAAACAAAAATAAACAAAATATTTTAAGTGTAAATTTGGTTGCATAACATGCATCATCAGTGAAACCTTTTAGTTAATAGATGGCGTTGGTTATTTAACACTATGAAAAAAATACTACTAAAATACTGCGCGAGTAGAAAACCCATCATCTTTCGGTTTGGCTAAGTGATGTTTGATGGCGAAAAAACATATTTACGAAAGCGTACTCGCCGAAATGCAGCGTGCGCGGCGATTCATAAGCGAAATGAATAGACAGCGGACGTGGGAGGGAGTGTAAGCGGGGTGATGCCTTAATGGGTTTTTGCATAAAAAACAAGCTGCTTGTGCTTCTTGCGTTTTCTAGCGTACGGAAAAAAAAAATCAGCCTTC